CTGAGCCACTGAGCCCAGCCAATTTATAGTTCTTAAACATAGTCCCTCATTCAGTCATTTGGTAAATCAGCCAGTCAGTCACTTAGTAACTATTTACTGAGTGACCACTTCATAAAAGGCAGCTCTTTCTACTCAGATCCTTATTTAAAGGTCTCTGAGGAAAGGTCTCACGATACAGGAGGTGAGAGGTACTGAAGCTCTGCTCCATCCTCACTGCAAAATAGTCTTCCAGACACTCCAGACACATGCAATCCAGCATGCTGACTCTGCTTCCTGCAGCTTCCCCGAGGTCTGCCTCTGTCTCCTTTTGCCTTCTCCTTTCCCTTTTGACTTCCCACTGCTCTGCATGGATTTAAATACCCTTATGCTAATAACCCCAAACTTGGGATCTCTGGCCTTCCTGCTCCCTTGATCTGCAGACAATATCCAGCTGTGCCCTTGATGTGCCCAGGGGCTGAATCAGTATTATCTCCACCAGGGCAAGGTACAGCCATTTTACCTAGACGTGTCCCAAATGGAATTTTGATCAATGGCCCAGACACTGGTCATTTAAAAACAAACCTACATCTGTTACTCAGTCTTCACTATCTCTGTAAATGACACCCTGCACACCATCACCCAAGCCTTGTCCAGGAGCCTTGACTTCTGGCTCACAGTCCCCACAGATGGCAGGCAGCAAGTTCCATCAACACCGTCTCTAAATATACCTGGAATCTCTCCTGCTATAATCTCTCCCCTCGGCTTCTCTAACAGCCACCTATGTGGTTTCCTGGCTTCTGTTCTTGTCACCTTCAAGGCATGTTATGTGGCAGTGACATAAATCTAATCACAATGCTCATCTTAAACCTGTTGATTGTGGTTAGAAGTAAGCCCCACCGCCCACACAGTCCACAGATGCAATAGCCAGCCTTGCTCACTCTCCGCTCACACACTCTCCAGCAACAAGATTCCATAGTTTATTTTTTGACTTCCTCAAATGTGCCCAATTCCTCCCTCCCTCAGGGCCCTGCCTTATGTTACTCCCTCTTGCTGGAGTGGTGTCTTCCCTATGCCACCAACCACTTGCTCTTGGCATGATGAGATCCCAGTCATCCTTTCATCTCCGCATCACTGTCACCTGCTCAGATGCCCTTGACCGTTCTCCACCCCCAGGAAGCAAAAAATGTTTACCACAAATGCCAGCTTGTTTCCCTCTGTGTTTGGCCACTCGCTTTGCCTTGTCTCCTCCTCTGACCGTGAACCCCAGGAGGCTGGAGTGTGTTTGTGGGATTTGGTGTTGAATCCCTAGCATGTAGCACGATTCTTTGTGCATAGCTGGTGCTCAGTGAAAATTGGTTGAATAAAAGAATAAAGGTTAAAAAATAAAGGGCACAGATGACTGACAAAAAGATTCTTTTTCATCAGCATAATGGTAAGTGACAAAGGTATTTATGTCTTTTGTCTGTATTTGGCTACTCATGCTGTCAAAGGGACAGCAGACCTTTAATTAGAGTTCTTCCAATTCAGAAAGCTTTTTTTTTTTCTTTTTTGAGTTAGACTCTTTCTGTTGCCCAGGCTGGCGTGCAGTGGCATGATTACAGCTCCCTGCAGCTTCAACTCCTCCCACCTAGGCCTCCTGATTACCTGGGGCCACAGGTGTACACCACCATGCCTGGCTAATTTTTAAAAAAATCTTGCGGAAACAGGGTCTCGCTTTGTTGCTCAGGCTGATCTCAAACCCCTGGGCTCAAGCAATCCTCCCATCTTGGCCTCCCAAAGTGCTGGGATTATAGGTGTGAGCCACTGTGCCAGACCCAATTCAGAAAGCTTTAAATCTCGAAAACATGCCCCTCAGAGAAAGGGGGAGGAAAGAAGGAAAATAGTTTAGAAAGCCAAATGGCTAGTTTCCATTCTGGAGTTTTGGAGCCCACCTCTGCCCACTGTTTTTTAATGACATAATTATGTGTCATTTCCTTCTTTGCCAAGTTGGGCTCATCATCCTCTTTCCAAGTAGCTGACTGGGGCTGAGGTGGGGGACAGTTATGACAGTGCTGCTAAATTTTTCACTGTCACTGGCATTTTGGATCTTGAAATGAATCCCATATAATTAAGACGATTATTACCCCCTGTGGTCGCAGTGCACAGGGATGAACATGAAGTGATGTGGTGATGTGATACATAAAGTGGATGGTCTCAGTGGCTGCTGGTGAAATTCTAGGGTTGGTCACTAGACTTGTCCACACCGTTAATACTGTCACAGTTGGTCATCAAACAGCAAACAGTACAGTTTCTCCCCCTTGATGGGTTTGGCTGGCATGCTTTGAAGTTCTTACTGGAGACAACATTCATTAATCATATAAATTCCTGCTGATAACAGAAGTGTCAATGTGGGCACAGTCCACTAACGTGGAAGGAGCCATGTCCAGCAGCTGCTTGAGCAGTTTGCTTGGGACATATTGAGCTCCCATGCCCAGTCTACACTTAAAGACATGAAAAATCTCCATCAAAGATCTCGTCATGGGCTGGCTACCACCTTGATCCCTGAGTCAGTCCTTCCCAAGCTTTAGAGAGCACATGTGGCCTAGTAGAAATCCGGTGTGGGTTGCACCATGTAGTCCTCTGGAGGTCAGGGAAGAAGGACAAATGACCAAGAGGGAGGCTTTTGGAAAATGGGAGACAAAGAGGTACATCTGGAGTGAGCCAGTAAGTTCAATGGCAAGAGTCAGGTCCACTTCATCGAACTGTGGGAAAAGTCGGCGGCTTGCTGGCTGCTTGGCAGGTGGGACTGGTCATGATCCACAGTGGAAAAGTCTGACCTCCATGTCTCAGAAAAGGGAAGCCTGCCCAGTGGTACTGGGGCTCTGATTTTTGTAAGGGTTGGGTTGGCCTTCCCAAAACATCAGGGCAAGTGGCAGCAAACATGCACAGGTGCATGTCTGGTCAATGCTGACACAGAATCAGTCTACTATTTGTCCGTGGCTGACAGTCATTCTGACTGGTTAGGGACCAAGATACATTAGTGCTTCAAAATTGTCAATATACTTTCTGCTTCTGGTGATTGCAAGAATGACTAAAGTGGTGTTTCTCAAAATTCAGTTAGCATCAGCATTACTGAGGAAATATATTTAAAATGCAGGCCAGGCACAGTGGCTCACGCCAATAATCCTAATGCTTTGGGAGGCCGAGGCAAGAGGATTGCTTGAGGCCAAATGTTCATGTCTAACCTGGGTAACACAGCAAGACCCCCATCTCTACAAAAAATTTAAAAATTAGCCAGGCATAGTGGCGCATGCCTGTAATCCCGGTACATGAGAGGCAGAGGCAGGAGGATTGCTTGAGCCCAGGAGTTCAAGCTGCAGTGAGCTATGATCTCACCACTGCATGCCAGTCTGGGTGATAGAGCAAGACCCTTTCTCAAGAAAAAAAATAATGCAGGTTTCTGTGGTCTCATAAATAAACATCATTACTCGGTAGGTCTTTTGAGACCGCAGAGTCTACCTTTTAAAGCCTTCTGGGTGATTCTAGAGCACCCGGACATCTGAAAACCACAGCACACAAGTCATGACACAGTGGGGGCCTCCTTTCCTTTGAGGGGGTCCTGCTGCAGTGAGGCAGGTGCTGTTGCATGACTAAAGCACCCAATGTGTCAAGAAGGAAACTGGTAGACACTCCCGGGATCCTCTGGGAAGGCCTCCTCTTCATCTAGCTACTAAGATGGCGCTGGGTTGTGGGAAGCACTTTGGGTCCTCACCTTTGTCAAATATCTGCACGTTCCTTTGCTTGAGCCACTTTTTAAGACTGTGTTCCTGGGCCTCTGAAGTTTTGTTATCTGTCTGTCTAAAAAAGGTATTCTTTCAGTTACCTTCTGTGATAGACTTGTATTTTCATTTTAATTACATCATGCTCACTGTAAATGTATGTACCGTTGAGGACCAAGTATTTGGATAATATCTAAGCAAGAAAGAAAAAAATAGCGCATGGACAAAATATGTTTCTGCCCAGAGCACCGCTAGGGGGCGCGTGAGCTGCTGCAGTCCTTCTGGAGAGCAACAAGGTGGTGCTCAGTTTCAAGGGAGTGAGCTTGCAGCCAGCAGCACCCCATTCCCCAGCCACAGATACACAGCCCAGAAACAAAGTCAAGGGATAAGAAGACCTTGTCAGCACTGTTTGAGGTGGCCATAGCACATGTGGCCCTAGCAGACTAGATTAAGTTGACTGCGATCAGATGTCCATGACAAGGGTGGACAGATAAAATGTGGAGAGTGCACTCCAGAGAGGACAAGGCAGCCATCAGAGGCGCTGGAGCAGATTGAACATGGCAACACAGATGGGTCCTGAAAGTGCCGAGTGGACTGACCAAGAAACCAACTGGAGTCAGTACCTCAATCTATAAGTTAAAAATACAGACACTCAGCCGGGTTCGGTGGCTCAACCTGTAATCCCAGCACTTTGGGAGGCTGAGAGGAGTGGATTGCCTGAGTCCACAGGTTTGAGACCAGCCCTGGCAACTTGGCGAGACCTCGTCTCTACAATGAATAAAAAATTAGCCAGGTGTGGTAGCGCACGCCTGTAATTCCAGCTACTTGGATGGTTGAGGCAGAAGGATCACCGGAGCCCAGCAGATCGAGGCTGGGGTGGCCGTGAGTGTGCCAATGCCCTCCAGCCTGGGCAAAAGAGTGAGATGCCAGCTCAAAAACAAATAAAAAATACAGACAACCAAACAACAAGAATAAAATATCTTTGTGTATTCACCTCTGTGGTCACAGTTTATCACCAGGAGGTGCTTAACCTGGGTTGAGCTCTTTCAGGGTCAAGAGTAAGTGTGGACATTGGCATTTCCCCTGGTGTGTTAGCACTTTATGTGACTTGTATTTCCTTCTCGGTTCCTAGCTGAGTATGAGAGCTGGTACCTGTAATCAGCCTTCAAACCATCATCTTCCCCAAGACAGGCAAGGAAAGCCTAGATCTGCAAATGTGACTCTGGTTGCCCTGAGCCTTTCGTGGCAATCCCCACTCACCGTTAGAGATGGCACACTTTCTGAGATTCCTCTACGGTTTCAAGCTATGTATGCATCCAAAGTCTTCTCTCTACACTGCTCTTGGCAACCTGTGTATTTGTGTAATATCTGTGTTTCTCCTTCAACTCTTTGGATAAGCAGACATCCCATGAACCTTGTTCTGAAAATGCCTGATATCCATGGTTGTTTTTGTTTGTTTGTTTGTTTTTTGTTTTGCCACTTTTGAAAAGCCTACAGATTATGTGTGCCAAGTCTGATTTTCCTCTACATACAAAAAGTACTGTTTTCAAACCTAGTTTGGAGAGAAGAGAAACCATTTCATGTGTCTCCCTCACCCCAATGGACTCTCCTGGAGCCTGTTGATGCGAAGTCTCAATGCAGACAGAAAGGACCCCTGAGGAGAGGACACCAACAACCTCCACAGTCCCAGAAAGAAGTGGTCACAAGAAGCAGCTTCCCTGCAGTACCTTCCTCTTGTCCCTCTTCCCAACCCACAGGCGGCCTCTTGCCCTCGCATTGACAAGAACCAGTCACCGGCGTCCAGAACAGAGAGCAGTGTTGAGAAGCACAGATTCTGGGTCAATGTATCCAAGGGTGAATCAGCTTAGTCCTCCCCAGCTGTGCGACCTTGGGCAAGTTCTTCGACCTATGTGTGCTCAACTTCCCCATACACAAAACAAGACAAAGTTGCTGTGAAGATTTAGCGAACTCATGGAGATAGAGACCACACCTGGACCTGCCGTGAAGTGAGTGGTCAGACACGCTGGCCGCTGTTCTGCCATTGAGGAATGCTTAATAAATCAGGCAGAAAGTGTTCCAAGGAGAGACACTTCCTATCCAGCAGATCCCTGTGAGAGGTCCAGCCCAGTAGGATGAGAAGGAAGGACGATACCTCTACAGTGGGGCTGCTCCCCTGTCCAGTTACCATTGGGAAGACACACCACACTGCTGGGTCCAACCAGCCGGAACCCAGGGTTGCAGGTAAAATGGACTTCGTGATCTACTAAGTACTTGCTTCCAAACTTTCTGCCATCTGCAGGGGCGCTCAGAGCCGGGCAGGAAACTGTAAGGAGAAATGGAAGAATTAGGAACCCCTCCTCCTGGACCGCAGCCCTTGAGACATGTCTCTGGATTATAGGATTTCCCATCTTGAAGTGCCTGTCCGCTGCGTGCCTGCTGCAACCCTGACATTCTGGACATTCTGACTGCTGCATCTCATTCTCAAAGCACTCTTGGGAATGGGTAGCATGATGCCACTTAGTGAGAGGTGACGAGACTGGGCTCAGAGATGCTGAGTGTTGTGTGCAGGGCCTCACAGCACAGGAGGGTCAGATGCTTGGCCCGTGTGACTGGCCCACCCATCACAGCCACCCACTCACTCTGCTTTCGCAGAGCTCCAAGCCCACTGAGTTTCTTCAGGTCCCCTGACTAGGCCGGGCTCAGCCCCAACTCCAGGCCTGGGTTGTGCTCTTCTCTCTGCCTAGAATGTTCTTTTCCCAGAACTTCCACAGCTGGCTTCTTCTCATGCTTCAAATCCCCACCCAAATGCCATCACCTGCCAGGTATTCTCTGATCATCGTGCCCAGCCAAGACCTCCCCAGACTCTCTCTATCCCATGACCTCACTTTGCTTTCTTCTTGGCATTTGTAACCATTGGCATTTTCTCACTGCCTTGTTTCTTTCCATGTCTGCTGTCTGTCCTCTCCCTCAGAATGTATCTGGCTGGGCGTGGTGGCTTACACCTGTAATCCCAACACTCAGGGAAGCTGAGGCAGGAGAATCACTTAAGCCTAGGAGTTTGAGACCAGCCTAGATAACATAGCAAGAACTCATCTCTACAAAAATAAACAAATGAGCTGGGTGCAGTGGTATGCACCTGTAGTCCCAAACTCTAGGGCTGAGGTAGAAGGACCACCTGAGCCCAGGAGGTCAAGGCTGCAGTGAGCTGTGATCATGCCACTGCACTCCAACCTGGTTGACAGAGTGAGACCCCGCCTCAAATAAAAAAGAATGCATCTGACCTGTGTCCCTGCTATATTCCAGCACCAGCCCAGTGCCTAGCCAAGGTGGGAGGATCACTTGAGACCGGGAGTTTGAGACCAGTCTGGGCAACATAGGGAGACCTCACCTCTATAAGAAAATTAGCTGGGCATAGTGGTGCATGCCACTTGGGAGGCTGAAACAGGAAGATCAACTAAGCCCAGGAGGTAGAGGTTGCGGTAAGCCATGATGGTGCCATTGCACTCCAGCCAGGGCAACAGAGTGAGATCCCAACACCAAAAAATTATATTAAATTAAATTTCAAGTTTAAAAAAAAAAAAACTGGATCCAACTGTTGTCTCTTTGGGTGGGAGAGGGGAAGGGAAAGGTGATGGATGCTCTAAACAGGTGTCATTCAACAATTATATCACTATGACACTATGAAGACATGATTGTTGTTAAGCCTAGAATAAGAAGGTATAAGAGGAAACGGGATGCCATTCAGACTAGGGGAGAAGAGAGAAGGCCTTGGGAGGCTGAGGTGGAAGGATCACCTGAGCCCAGGAGCTTGAGGCTGCGGTGAACTGTGATAGTGCCACTGCACTCCAGTCTGGTCAACAGAGAGTCCCCGACATAAAAAAAAAAACTACCTGTTGGAACAACTAATGAGTAACCCAACCTGAGTAGATTGAACAGTCTCTGGCACATAGTAGGTGCTCAAAAAATGTGAGTAAAATGAATGAATGAATAAAAATTAATTAAAAATCAATTTATAGTTGCATTTCTAGTGTGAGCTTAACGTAAGACTCCTGCACCTGTGAAAGGAAAACGAGTTCCTTTATGGATTCCTTTCACCAGGAGCACATCCTGGTGAGTCTGCAGAGTCACCGGAAAGCTCTCTGCTCCTTCTGGAATGAGATGAATATGTACGGAATGAGACCAGCAGCCAGGCAATCTTGGAGACATGGGGATATGAGTGGCACGAGACAGTTCTGGATGGGTCCTGGAGCTGACTGGCTGTGATGCTCAGGAGAAAGAAGGGTCAGAAAAACAAGAGGGCGCTGTTAGCATGGAAGCCAGAAGGAAGAGGATCAAGAGTTCTCCAGAACTAGAAATTATTCTTCCTGACTCCCAGAAAATGTCCTTTTAAAAAAAAAGCAAAAGGTAGTTTTCCCACCCCTTGCCATTTGATCTGGGCAAGTTTCTGACCTTCCCCCAGGTGCAGGCCCAGCCCCTTGCCCCACCTTGTAATGGGATCCTGACAGCTGCCTTGGAAGGGTTGTCACAGGATCAACCTCCACACACGTGAAGTATCCCCCCACCTGGTGTCCAACACACTCTGTGAGAGAGACATGGTGCCAATTTTTTAAAAAGAACATCTGTCACTTTTAAAAATCTAGTATGTTTCAGAGATGAAATCCCTCAAATCTGGGGAAAGAGGATTATTCATGTAATAACAGCTCCCCTTCTGTCTGTCTAGTGGACAGGGGCCTCTAACATGGGCGAGGCAGTTGTATAAATTATTACATGTGGGTTCTCTCCGAAACTCCCAGAGACCACAGCCCACTCTGGTCCCATGAAAACAGGAAGACTTTGTGGAGTCGAGCCTTTAAGCAGAGAAAAAAAAAATGCAGATCAGGGACCTTTGACTGCTAACTCATTCGCTTGTCTTGGCCTCTGTTTCCCCATCTGTACCAGGAAGGAAAGACACCCTTCCTGCCCCATGCAGTGTGTTGAGCCCCACCGAGGGCTCGAGCCTCACAGAGCCTTGGAAAGTGTGAGATTTGGCTGGTAGGTTAGCTCTGCACCTGTGAAGCCAAGGAAAACAGGAGCAGACTCCGAGCTGCTGAGATCCGGATTTGTTGCCATAATCTCTGACAAGGTAGGAAATCCAGCACCATCCCCAGGAAACTTCAACTCACACAACAAAGAAGGCCCTTGATGAATGTGTCTGCAGTGAGTAAATGGTGTCAGATATTCCATAGGCTCATGTCTCAGAATGAACGTGATGACTGCTCTGCTCCCTCTCCCCCTCAGTACCCTGAGAGAGGCCAGAGGAAAGCCAGCCACCCATTTCTGGGCCTTGGTGGTATGAAAGTCACCATGGGGACAACCAGGAAAAAAACACCATGTCGGTCAGAGCCCTTCTCTCAGGGAAGTGTGTCTGGGCTGCCCACTGTAATCTCACCAGACAAATGGAACTTGTTCTCGGCAGCCCTTCCCTCCTACCCACGCCTGTACTACCGGGGACTCACTGGAGGATGTATTTTCATGCCAGAAAACTGGGACCAATGTTGGTTCATGGACTGTAACAAGTGTACTGCACTGGCAGATGGTGGGGATGTTGTGTGTGTATCGGGGGGCAGTGCTGAGGGGTGGAACTCTGTGCATGCCACTGAGTTTTGCCATGAACTTGAATCTGCTCAAAAAATTGTCTACTAAGTTAAAATCAGACTGGGCATAATGGCTCACGCCTGTAATTCCAGCAGTTTAGGAGGCTGAGGTGGGAGGCTCGCTTGAGACCTGGTGTTCGAGACCAGTCTGGGCAACATAGCAAGACCTCATCGCTACAAAAAAATGTTACAAAAATTTAGCCGGGCATAGTGGTGCACACCTGTAGTCCCAGCAATGGGGAGGCTGAGACGGGAGGACCACCAGGAGGTAGAGGCCGCGGTGAGCCATGATGATGCCGCTGCACTCCAACCTGGGCAACAGAGTGAGATTCCCAACTCCAAACAAATTAAAAATTAAATTAAATTAAAAAACTAAAATAAAAAACAAAACTGGATCCAACTGTTGTCTTCCTGGGTGGGAATGGGGACGGGAAAGGGAATGGATACTCTAAACAGGGTGCCTTTCAACAATTCAGTCACGACGCTATGAAGACGTAATCATTGTTAAACCTGGAATAAGAAGGTATAAGAGGAAATGGAATGCCACTCAGACTGGGGGGAAGAAAGAAGGCCTTTTTAACATACCCCATCCCACGACCACCAACAGGGGTTAAAAATGCGTGGCAGAGGGAAGCAGAGGCAGGAAGGATGAGGAGTGTGGCCCAGGGGCCTCGGGCAGGGGCAGGTTGGGTGGGGAGAGCATCTCTCGGGGACTGCTTGAGCACTGCCTTGGGCCCAGTGGTGCTGACGTGAGGACCCACCTGGGGGGGCGTCTGGGGCCACCCTGCTCACAGAATTCTGTAGCACGGCCAGCCGGCTCTTCATGTGGCGGATGCCCTCGGCGAAGCGCGTCTCCTGGCCCTTCAGCAGCTGCTGCAGCTGGCGGATGGCGGAGAGGAGCTGCTGTTTGCTGAGACAGTTCTGGGGAGAGAGGAGACCGCCACTGCCACCCGTGGAGACCAGCTCAGTCCCACAAACTCGGTGTGGGCTTCTAGAAGTCACCGGAACCACGGGGTCCACACTGCCCTCATGGCTCCCTAAGCAGGACACGAAAGTGACTTCCAGCTGGACGGTCCCGAGTGCATGGATTGTGGCCCGAGTTCACCCTCAACAGAAGCAAAACATGGGCAGGATTGATGATTCTAAGTGAATGGGTGGTTCAACAATGATTCAAACCCAAAGTGGCTTGTAATCAGTAGGTCTGTTACTCCAAAAGACACTCTCTAATTCTTCACTGAGTTAATGCCCTGGAATCTGGGTCTTGGGGAACTTTTTCTTTCTTTTGCTTTTAAGCATTTTTAAAAGCAAATAGATGATAATATATATAAAACAGACAAAACAGAAGTGCCCAATGGTTCCTATGCTTTTAAGCATATAACAGGGCAAATAAAAAATTCAGTAGAGTTAAAAAGGCATTCAATAAACGTAAATGTCTAGTTATGATTTTTTTAAAGCCATAAGAAAAACAGAAATCAGAAGTATCATGTGTATCATGATAAAGAAGACCTAACTTAAAGCAACATCCAGCATCATAAGCATCATTTGTAAGGACACAAATCTCAAACTTTCCAATTTCAATTTCCTTTAAGAGCAAGGACACAGATGGGTGTGGTGGCTCACACCTGCAATCCCAGCACTTTGGGAGGCCAAGACAGGAGGACTGCTTGAGTCCGGGAGTTCTAGACCAGCCTGGGCAACACAGCAAGGCCTCTTCTCTACAAAAAAATAAAAATTTAAAAAATGATCCGGGCATGGTGGCATATGCCTGTAGTTCCAACTACTCAGGAGGCTGAGGCAGAAGGATCACCTGAGCCCAGGAGGTGGAGGCTGTGGTGAGCTGTGATCACGCTACTGTACTCCAGTCCGGGGGACACAGTGAAACACTGACTCAAAAAAAAAAAAAAAAGCCAGGACATGAAAAAGAGCAAAGAGGATTGAATCCCGTAGGGGAATGACAGGACCCTGTGAGGTGAGCATGTCTCTGCTGAGGTGGTTCACATTCAACTGGGAACTGCATGTGACAATAACGTGGCTTGGACTCATGTCACCACAGGAGAAAGGAGGTTCATCAAGGTCATGATGATGGTTATCTTTAGGGACAGGCTTATGAATCATTTTTTAAATTTTATTTTTTATACTTGATTTTTTCTAGGTATTAGTTTTACAATTAAAAAAAAATTTCTCTAAAAGCCAGCTGGGCAGCTAGGAGGGGAGGCTGTGGCTTCTGCACAGCCTGGGTGACTTCCAGCCTCTGCCGTGGAGCGTGCCACCGCCACCAACACCACTGCAGTGGAAACAGAGCTGCTGTTGCTCTCCCAGGGAGGCTGCCAGCCTGCTGCACCTTGGAGAGTTCACCAGACACATGACTCACTGGCCAGATTCAATGGATGCTTTTGACAAAGTTGAATCCTCAGTTGCCCCTGGAACTTGTTAACCCACAGGGTTCCTTGGCCTCCCCATATCTGAGGCCTGATGAGACATGGCCCCAATCACAACTGCTAGGAATAGAAGTTTCATTTGTTTTCCTTCCTCCTCCCCCACTGTGGTCCTTCCTACGCAGGACCTGGGGCATCCGGGAGCGACCTGCAATCCCCTACTTGCCTGGCACCACATGGCCATTACACCCAGACCTAATTTCCCACACCCACAACCCCTCCCTTTCTCTTAAAATAAAATTTAAAAATTTAAAAATAGCTACTTTTATAGATGACCTCATGGCTTATATGTCAATTACATTTGTAAAGTACTTCACGGTCTATGAAGAGCTTCTTTGGTAGAGCGAAGCAGACTTTAGCTACTGGCTGACAGCAACCCTGTCATGGTAGAGCTGGTCTGAGAACCCTGTGATTTCAGCCCTCCAGCTACTCCAATGGACTGTCTCCTTTGTTCTCAGACACTCTTGTGTGGTGAATGATATTAGGGATGGATTTGCACTGGGGATTGACAGGACTGGAATATCCAAAACACCCCACAGTTGATTTCCAACTCCTGTGCAAATTTCGGGCTGGGCAGCCAGGGCCGTGGGGGCCCAGAAGTGAGGAGGGAACATGGAGGAAACATCCTTGACCACATGGAGCCAGGAGAGCAGATGCCTCCCTGTGCTATGAGCCAGCCAGGGCTGTGACAGCTGGGAGAAGGCTGGCTGCACCACAGCTGCCCCAGGAGACACGGAGGACTCAGTTTTGAAGCCGGGAGAGATCTGTGCCAAGGGCTCTGCTGGGTAGGGCAAACACATGGCTAGGAACCTGGGGGTGGTGGCGTGGGGTTCCAGGAAATAAAGGGGCACATGTGGAGGGAAAGGGGCCCTCCTTCCATTTGGCCTCCAGGCAGCCAGATATCTCGGTCTAACTTCAGTGCTGCTAGCTGCAGGCACAGCTGCCTTCTGCTTCCAGTGACGTTTCCTGCATCATGGACAACAGCACTAGCTGCCTTCACCCAGGTGTTCATTGGGGGTGAGATGTGCTCAACTTGCCAGCTGCCACTGAAAAACCCTGAAAACCTTCAAGACCAAGCAAACTAAGGCCACAACCCCAGCGGGGAGGGAGGTGGTGAGGTAGCCAGCCGGCTTGCTGAGGGAAGGTGGGATGGCTCTAATCCATCCCTGCATCTGACCTCTCGAGGGTGATGCCAACAAAATAAAGCATGGTGCAAGGAGAGTCCTTGGTGCTCTTGGCAGGCCAGTGTGCCAGCATCAGGGCCAGGGTGCCAGGGAGACAGAGACAAATAGTATCTTGAGATTTTAAGGTCTGTGATACACCTGCTCCTACCAGGGCAGGTCCTTGATACTAAAATGCTGCAAATGGATCCCCTGGGTGCCATGCTCAGTCTGTCACCTGAGTCAACATAGGCACAGGCATAGCTGACTTCCACTGCAGCCCTGGGTGATGGGGCTGGAGTCCCTACAGACCAAGACAAGAGATCAAGGGACTAGCATTATGGGGACAAATGAGGTCATGCAAGGGGGAGTAAGAGCCCAAGTGTCTGCCATTATCTTTCTTTTTTCTTTTTTTGAGTCAGAGTCTCACTCTGTTACCCAGGCTGGAGTGCAGTGGCACACTCATGGCCACGGCAGCCTCGGCCTGCTGGGCTCAGGCGATCCTTCCACCTCAGCCTTCCAAGTAGCCGGAACTACAAATGCACACCACCATGCCCAGCTAATTTTTTTGATTTATGGTAGAGATGAGGTCTCGCCAAGTTGCCCAGTGAGCTCAGGCAATCCTCTCACCATGGTCTCCCAAAGTGCTGGGATTATAGGCATGAACCACCACGCCCAGCCTGTATCTGCCATTTCTAACTGAGAAAGTTTTCTCATTTTGCTTAACCATAAAAAAGAAAGCACATTCCCTGCAAAACAATTCAAAATATAAAGACACATCAAAACGAACAAGTCCCATGACCAGAGACAGCCACTGTTAGCTTCTTGTTCGATTTTAACCTTTGTGTTAGACACAGGAGTGCACATGCACGAGTATCATCATTCGGGAGCATAGGACACAGGTTCTGTCTCAGCTCTTTCTCCCCAGTGGTGGCTGTGGCATTATTTTCAAGTCAAGGAGCAGAGCAACCCACCTGATCCCTGGGTCTCAATTCTACTTCTATTCCTCAGTGTGCTCTTTTCAGTCTAAGAAGGGGGCTCCTTGCCTGCCCCCCAGTGTCTGCTCACTTCCCCCTATACCCACTACCATCTCCTGCTCTACAGAGTCAAGAGACGTCATGCAGGGAACTAATCATGTCCTTCTTTGGCTAAGGGGATTGTGAGGGACTGTGGGTCAGGAAGTAGGTCAGACCTTAGGGCTTGTCCACCTGCATTTCAGGAAAGGGCTAGCTTTGGGCAGTTCTTTCCTATCTCAGGGTCCCAGATCCCAACTTTATAAAGCAACCCAGGTTCCACACTCCTTTCCGGAGCTGACTTCATCCTTGGGTGGGAAAACTCACCTAGGCTATGATTGAGCAAAGGTCAGATCCAAGCAGGGTGGGTGAGGGAAGGACTCCACACCCCAGGAAGGGAAGGGTCACCAGAGGCTGCCACCTCAAAGCTGAGGACACTGCCAAGTCAGGGCACCCAGTTTCACAGGCCTCTTCTAGGGCTCTCAAGAGGCCCTCATTTTAAATCTTCTTCTTATAGAGATCCCCTCAAATGGGATAAAAATTCATCCCTTCAAAACCAGGCTCTATGCCCAGTTTATGCCATTGACAATAAACAATGAGAAATAGTTTCCATTTCTTTGAGTTAATAACTTATTTGAAACGGAACCAAGGAAACACATTCAGGGAAACTCTTCCATCTTTGAGGAGAAAAAAAGCAAGATTTACCATTTCTGTTATGAAACTCTTTAAAGGGGTGAGCACTTCATCTATAACTCAACACCAATGGCAGTGTTTGCAGAAAAGATGTAAACCAGTTAGAGAAGTGACAACAGCTGTCACTCCAACCAGGTATTCCTAAGCTGGGGAGGAGGAGGTGAGGATGGCTCTGGAACATGCCGGCCAGTGCTGAGAACTAGGAGGGTGGGGAAAGCTGGCCAAAGGCTCTTGGGAGCTAGAAGGTCCACAGAGCACACCGTTCACCCTTGTTCATCTTCCCTCCAATCCATTCTCCCACAATACTTATGCTGATGGATCTACCAGAGACACCTCAGAGCTTAAAAATGCTCCCCTTTCTTTGAGAACCAGTTAGTGCTCCAGGAGAGCTGGGCCTCCAGAGACATTTTATACTCCCAGACCCCACCTGCTGACCCAGAGTTGGACACAGCCAAAGATGAGCATGTGTCCCCCAAGCTCACCCTGTCCCGGTGCCCGAACTCAGTAGGCCTGAACCCATGCATCCCATCCAGTCCTCCTTGCTATCTGGGCTCAATTTATACATGAAGTTCAGGACCCAGGGCCTGCTCTCAAGGCAAAGAAGGACACGGGAGAAGCTTCAGGAGTCTCTAGGATATCGTGGGGCTGGTCCTTGAAGCTTTTGTTCTGTGATCTGGCTCGATGGCCTTCCTCACAGGGATAGTCTTGGCATGGTGACAACTTCTGAGAGCCACTT